GTTTCCCCTCCCGCTCCCAGGCGCTGTGGGGGTTTCCCCTCCCGCTCCCAGGCGCTGTGGGGGGTTTCCCCTCCCGCTCCCGGGCGCTGTGGCCGGTTTCCCCTCCCGCTCCCAAGCGCTGCCCATTCCCCTCCGAGCCACTGCCCCTCCTTGCAGCCGCTGTGGCTGGGCTTGCCCTCCCACCTCCCACCTCACACCTCTGTAGCCTTGGGTCCTTTTCTGTCCTCGAGGCCTCTACTTAGCTCCCTTCTGTACCTCTTGGCCTCCATGTTGTCCTCAGTCTTCCCTTGCAACTGGTATATGCAAATTAACCGCCATTTTTAGCTTCTATAATTGAAACATTGTATCTTTTGGAGCTGTTGCTTCAGGAGCTCAGAGCCAGGCGGCAGCAGGAGGGGAATCTTGGCTTCCTCGGTCCCTGGAGCAAGCAAGCCTCATGTTCCGCTTTAAGCTGCCTGGCTGCCGGCCGCCATCTTGGCTGACAGTTAATTTGCATAGGATATGCTGATTAGCCAATGGGAAGGGTAGCGGTTGTACGCCAATTACCATTTTTCTCTTTTATTAGTGTAGATTAGGATAAAGGTAGTAAGTGCAGGACCATTCTCAGCCTTTGGCTAACTGTAGAGCCAGGGTGGTTTGTACTCAGTTGGATCTTTCAAGGAAACACAACCTATTTTAATGAACTGAGGAACATTTTCAAAGCTTCTCAGAAGTTTTTGACATTAAAAAGAAGTATCAAGAGCCCAACTGGTGTGGCTCAGTGGTTCAGTGTCAACCTATAAATCAGGAGGTCACAGTTCAATTCCTGGGTTAGGTCACATGTCTGGGTTGCAGGCTCGATCCCCAATAGGGGGCATGCAGGAGGCAGCTGATCAATGATTCTTTCTCATTACTGATGTTTCTTTTTATATATAATATGTGTGTGTGTGTATATATATATATTTTTTTTATTTTTATTGATTTCAGAGTGGAAGGGAGAGGGAAAGAGAGATAGAAACATCAGTGATGAGAATCACTGATTGGCTGCCTCCTGCATGCCCCCTACTGGGGATCGAGTCCACATGTGTCCTTGACCGGAATTGAACCCGGGACCCTTCTGTCCGTAGGCCAATGCTCTATCCACTGACCCAAACCAGCTAGGGCTCATCATTGATGTTTCTATCTCTCTTTCCCTCTTCCTCTCCCTTCCTCTCTGAAATCAATAAAAAATATATGTATTTTTAAAAAGTATCAAAGTACTTTGAGGATAAAATATAAACTAAGCTGAGATTGTGCCTGATTATGACAAAACACCAGTGGATTCTTATTAAAGTCTAAAATAATTTAGAGTGCTTCAAAAATATCTAACAGTGTATTTATTCAAAAGCACATATTTAACAAGAATAACCTTTAAGTGTAAGGGATGTTTGAAATTATGGAGTTGAAATTATAGGAAGATTCAAGCATGAGTGCTTCTGGAGTGTGCCTACCTTTACTTAAATTATGTGGCTATTAACAAAGTCCTTTAATAGTTCCTGTTTCCTTTGACAACTAGGCAAAGCAGTGTGTACCATGGCAGGCCAAAGTAGTAATACAAAGAAAACTCTTGAGATGTTCCAAATGGAAAATCAATTTAGAAGACAAGGGAAACACAGTTCCAACGCATTAACTTCTGAAGCACTGATGTAGCTTAATATTTATGACTTAGCAGTGGTTCCCACAGCCAGCCTTTCTACCTAGGCAGTGAAATGGAGAACTGGCTAAATGAATGGGTGTTTTAAACAAGCTTTCTGATTTTGCCTCAGTTTGTTCAGTGATTTCCAATAGATTCAAAGTTTAGGACCTGGATTAAATAATTATCCACTCAAAGTTCTTTGTAAACATAAACTCAGTTTTAAAAAATTCCCATTTTTAAATTATTTAATGATTTAATTTAACCTTAAGTTTGGCCGAATGAATGGATTTGTTGTTTCTTTTTTTTTTTTAACTTCCATTTCTCTTATCTATATAATAAAAGAACACAGGTCAAATCAAGTTTGTTTTAAAATCACTAGTTCCAGTATTATGTTGGTGGCAAATTCACAAAAATAATAAGCAGAAACAAACTGCACCACATATGAGAATCATATTATTATTCTCTGGCACAAAGTGTGTCTTGAGTGTTTACCTCTATACTGGTCATCTGATCTTCAACTTTTGGCTTAAAGAAAACCACCTGCTACAAGTGCTCCTAAGAGTTCCAAGGGCTGAATTCATACAAACAAAAAAAGAAGATATGTCTATCAGCAGGAACAAGTTTGAGGTGCCACTTCCATGTTGCATTGAGACAAATATGCTGACCTAAATATGAACCCAAGACTTTTTCTGGTTTGCTTTGTTTTTATTTTCCTTAAAGGGATGTAAGGAGAGCTATGCTTCAGCCTTCATTTCACTTGTTATTTTCCCTAATAGCTGTTGAAAGAATGTAGTTCAAAGAAAACAATGCCCCCTGAGACACGGTAGTAGCAGATATGCCACCGCTGAGTTGAATGCAGAGATAAAGAGAATTGGAAACTTACTTGTTCACTGGATCGAGAGAGACAGCTTTTGATGACTTCTGTTTCCAGAATTGTACGCTTATTAATATCCACATGCTCATAGTACTTAGACAGCCGGGTCTGCCCTTGTTTATTCACCATGAGGAAGAATTTTATCATTTTTTTCTGGACAGTATTTTTCCAAATATAAATCAAAAGTTATGGCAAGGGTGGCTATAATTAGAACCTGAAGGATGAAAGAAAAACAGAACGGCAAGATCAATTTTCATAAAGGATCATATTAGCCAAAACCGGTTTGGCTCAGTGGATAGAGCGTCAGCCTGCGGACTGAAGGGTCCCGGGTTCGATTCCGGTCAAGGGCATGTACATGGGTTGCGGACACATCCCCAGTGGGAGATGTGCAGGAGGCAGCTGATCGGTGTTTCTCTCTCATCGATGTTTCTAACTCTCTATCTCTCTCCCTTCCTCTCTGTAAAAAATCAATAAAATATCTTTAAAAAAAAAAAGAAAGAAAAAAAAGGATCATATTAAATGTGTTCTACAGATGAATCAGAAGTAAATAAAAAATGTCTTCTGATGTCATTGGTCTTCACTACTATGAACTAAATGAGGTTTTACTAAATAATTAACCATAAATGTTCATTAATTATCTTCCCAAACATTTTTAGTATCCACAGTACTTCTACTCACGTTTGATCCATGGACTCATCAGTCTTGTTGGACTGATGTGTCAAGCACCAGAAGAATATAGAGATGAAGTAACGATTTCTGATCTTCACAACTAGCAAAGATGCTAGATAGGTAAACAAGTAACAACAGTACGAGGTAATGAGTTACAACTGGTGCACAGACAGGAGGGCAAGGCACATCACAGGAGTGTTGGGAACGGCTTCTCAAAGAAGGGGCAGTTAACAAGTCCTTAACAGCCAGGTCAGTGTGGCTCAGTGGTTGAGCGTCAACCTATGAACCAGGAGGTCACAGTTTGATTCCCAGTCAGGGCACATGTCCGGTTGCGGGCTAGATCCCCAGTATTCTCTCATCATTGATGTTTCTATCTCTCTCTCTCCCTCTCCCTTCCTCTCTGAAATCAATAAAAATATATTGGGGGTGGGGGGGTTCTTAACAATGATCTACAGGAAGTGACTCTGGGGCAGAGAAAGCAGGGATATGAAAGCTCTGGAAAGTTCAATGGCTGTAGTTCAGGGGGCAGGAAGAAGAGTCATAGGAAACTGAGCTGCTCACATAAGATGATAATGGCTTTAGAAGTCCTGCGAAAGAATAGGAACTATTTTATGGACAATGGAGACAAGATCTATAGTGAAGCTTTTTTCCCTTAATGTTGGAAGCAGTAGTCGTAGTAGCAACTATAATAACAAGGCCCTATAACAAGTCCTATAAGGTCTGTACTAAGCAATGTACATATATTATTAAATTTTCACAATTCTCTGAGGCAGGTACTTCTGTTATCCCCATTTTAAGGACAAGCAAATTGAAGTTCAGGGATTAAGACACCCAAAGTCCCTGGATTATTTTGCCAGGGGTGAAGGCCAGCTTAGAGGACAAACACATAATCCTTATCATCCAGGAGTTCATAGTGTGGCTTTATTTCTAACTAAGCTGTATCGAATCTTATGTTTGTTCCTTTTACACTTAATATAGATTCTGAAAGAATCAATTGCAAAAAAGTACAATATTGACTAATGGCCAGACCTTTCATCATGAGCATCCGAGTTGCCGCATTGGCTCATTTGACAATATCATATTCACATTTTATAATATCTGTGAAAATCAGTGCAAAAGACAATAGCTCTTAAATACACTTTTGGTTGCTGCGTTCAATCAGTGTGCAGAACAGGATGTCATCTAGACCAGCTCAGAGAAGGTCATACAGCTGTGCCAGGGGCACACTTGTGGCCATTCACTCCCTTTTCCAGGATGATACGCTCACTACTGTAGGTGGGATGGCAACATACTTTATGCTGCTTAATCATTTGGTATTACTTGCTGCTTTTATTCTCTTTACAAATTATTCCCAGTAAATTATGACACATGACTAGTAAATTAAGATTACCATCCTTTCTTTTATTCCCTTTCAGCAAAGTTACTTTAAAACTATCTTTATGAATCTTAGAAATTACAGTCCTATACCTTGGATACTAGCTGCCAGGTAAAAGGAAAATATATTGTCTCAAAGGAACTCATGGCTAAGGCTTTGCCTTTAAATGCTCTGGTTGCACTGAGTGGTAAAAGAAGATGTAAAATGATCCCCCTGAGATGCTACACCGAGGGATCACATTGGTCCTACCTCACAAGCACAGCATTCCTTCCCACTGACTTCAAGATCAAGGAGGACATACAAGGACGTGTTGAATTGATACTCATTAGGGTGCAAGTCTTGCAAATAGTAGCTGAAGGCATCTAAAATTTTGAATACAACACTTTTTTGCATGCTCATAATTACACAATATATAACTGTAGAATTACACAGTGGTAATAAAATGAACACACAAAATTATAAATTATTTGTATTATAAAATAAACAACACCCAAATGTACAATGTGGAGATTCAGAGACAAGCACATGTTTGAGAACTGAAGATGAATGCTTTAGGTTCCTCTCCTGCTGAGCAATCATCAGGAAGGAGGGAATCAATTACGAAATACAGAATGAGCTCAGACAAGTGCTGGGAGTGGTCAGGGAGCAGGTATGAACTCCCTCTCTTTATAAACTCTTTGCATTCAACAGCACACATGGCTGGGGAAGATGTTTTGATAGCCAGGAATTTAGATTCCATACCCAAGAGCTTGTGTGAATGTGCAAAGAAAAAGGAAACTTCACTGGGGAAAGCATTCATTACACAAGTGCAAGGATACCTGAAGGCCAAGACTAGGCTGTCTGCCGGGGTATGAAGACATCAGTGCCCCAGGATCCCATGTGATGTAAATGCAATGCCTAGAGAACAGGGAGCCTGGAAAGACCAAAGTACATATTGAACTGGGCACAGCTTTCAAATTTCTGATGGTGTATTTCTGGGAGTTAGAACTGGAAGTGCCTTTACAGATTGTCATACCCAAAGATGACAAATAGATTTCAACTTGGGTGCCAATGGTGACTAACTGTACTCGCTGTTTTGGGCACTGTGTTGGGAAGGAGTCTGGAGCTGTTTTCTGGTTCAGAAGAAAAGAATGCCATGAGTGATTAAGAATGTCAGTCATGGTTAGAAAGCAGGGTGTGGCAACATATGCACCTTATCTGTCATCCCTCATTCTGCAGATGGGAAAACTGATAATCTGAGATGTAGAGTGAAGTCCTGAATTCTGGTCTCCAACTCATACAAATGCTGTCTCTAATTTACCACATTGCCTCTTTGCCTCACTCATGCATTATGTCATTAAATGTTCAATTAAGCTTAATAAACATCAATGTCATGTAGCTTTAGGAATGATGAACTCAATGTTCTCTTTTCTAATGCCCTGCACAGCTAATTTGGGAGATAGCAAACAATTCACTGCATGAAAACAGTAGGGTATGAAGTTTCTAGAAATGAAAGTGGTATTTGATGATGGCTAACATCCTTTCTAGTTACTCCAGAATTCATTCATTCTCTCTCTCTCTCTCGCAACATCAGACAAAAAACCATTTTATTTATTCCATAAAAGTGATTGAAATAAAATCCCCAAGTTATAAAGTAAATTTCCACCAAGAAAATGTTTAGTACTCATCTATATAATAAAAGCCTAAGCGACCGTTATGGCAGAACGACCGGTTGCTATGATGTGCACTGACCACCAGGGGGCAGACACTCAATGCAGGAGCTGCCCCCTGGTGGTCAGTGCGCTCCCACAGGGGGAGCGCCACTCAGCCAGAAGCCAGGCTCACAGCTAGAGAGTGCAGCGGTGGTGGCAGGAGCCTCTCCTGCCTCCATGACAGTGCTAAGGAGCAGCGAGCTGAGCGGTAAGGAGCAGCGAGAAGGCGGGCGGTAAGGAGCGAGGGCTCCAGGACTGCGAGAGGGCCCAGGCCAGGCTGAGGGACCCCCCAGTGCACGAATTTCGCGCACCGGGCTTCTAGTACAATAAAACAGTCACAAGCTCATGTGAACTGGATGGAACTTGATTGGCTCTACTACTTACTAGCTTCGTTTTCCTGGTCAAGTTACTTAAATCTTTCAGTACTCAGTCTGAGGTACAATGGGAAAAGTAACAGTACTTACTTTCTGGGTTGTAAGGATTAGACTCTAATCCTTACAGCAGTTCTCAACCTGTGGGTCGAGACCCCTTTGGAGGTCGAACGACCCTTTCACAGGGGTCGCCTAAGACCATCCTGCATATCAGATATTTTCATTACGATTCATAACAGTAGCAACATTACAGTTATGAAGTAGCAACGAAAATAATTTTATGGTTGGGTCACAACATGAGGAACTGTATTTAAAGGGCCAGAAGGTTGAGAACCACTGGATTAGAGGAATAATTATATGTAATGTTCTCAGAAACTGAGCATTGGCCAATATTATTATAATATAGCACCTTTTCCTCAGTGAAGCCTTTCACACTTATGCCAATCCCCTCTTTCTAACCACAAAAAGCTGGTTATCCTTTCTAAGAACCCATCACTCTATCTTACAAAACCTGTCACCCTATAGCAGTGGTTTTCAACCAGGGTTCCGCAAGAAGCAAACTGTTTTTATTGATTTTAGACCAAAAGGAGAGGACAGGGAGATACAAACATTGATGAGAGAGAAGCATCATAGCCTGCCTTCTGCATACCAGCTACTGGGGATCAAGTCAGTAACCCAGGCATATGCCCTGACTGGGAATCCAACCAGTGACCTCTTGGTACATGGGACAATGCTTAACTAACTGAGCCACACTGGCCAAACTGCAAGAATTTTTAAAACATGCAATATTTGACTATTTAGTCAGAGACACTGACCTCTTTTCTCTTAGGTTATTAATTATAAAAAAAAATGACAACAGCCAACACAACAACAGCCATCCAGTGTGAATGAATTAAAATTATACCTATTTTTCTGTCAGATCGGCAAAAAATATATTATTTGGTGTGCCACAGAATTTTAGTAATTAGTTTATGTGTGTCATGAGATGAAAAAGGTTGAAAATTGTTGCCCTATATAATCATTATTTAATTACACGCTGAACCCCGCTATCAGACCAGTGATTTTCACTCTCTTATTGTGATAAGAAAGATATTTTACACTGTGACCCCATATACAGGCACATAATATCTGAAACAAAAGTTCACAAAACAATGCTTATCCATACTATGCATATTGCACTCTAGTATTTTCTTTGACATTTCATTTGGTAAAAACTGTAGTTGTGAGGAATTTGGGTTACACAGATGTATGGGTTTTTTAAAACTCAGCAAATGTACTTTAAAGATTCATGCATTTATTATACGCAAATTTTACAAAAAGAAACTAATACTCTAGTTAATTATATAAATGTTGAAGTATTTGGGCAAACTGTATTGATATTTATACTTCGAAATGCACTAAAAACTAAGATAAATTGATAGATGGTTAGATATATGATAAAGTAAATATAGTAAAACATTAATGGAAGAATCTAGGTGGTGAGTAAATGGGAATTCACTTTGAAATTCATATATATATAAACTTAGTGGACCTTTAATTTGTTACAAATTTTCCACAGTGTAACCTGGTAGAATATAACAAAAAAATCATGAAAATAATTCTAGCTTTTAACTCAAGCATTTCAGTCCTGGGAATCTATCTTAAAGTATAATTAAAAATCCATATGCATGAAAAT